CTCCCTCCCTCCCTCCCTCCTTCCTTCCTTCCTTCCTTTGTAAAGTGAGGGGAATAGGCAAGACAATCTCTTAGGGCCCTCTTTGATCGCTTTTGATATCTACACCAAAAAGATTCAATTTACTGCTGGGTGGGTGGCTCACACCTGTAATCACAGGTACTCAGGAGGCTGAGTCAGGAAGCTTGTAAATTTGAGCCTAGCTTGGGTAATTTAGCAAGACCCTGTCTCAGAAATAAAAATTAAAAGCGTTGATATAGCTCAGTGGTAGAGTGCATGCAAGCAAGAGGCCCTGAGTTCAATCCTCAGAACTAAAAAAATAAAACCAATTTACCAATAATGAATGAAGCAAAATTAATAAATTTGTGATGGCAGTTTTCTATTTTATTTTTAATCTATTTGTTATAATCCTATAATGTGGATTGTGCTGACTAATACACAGTTTGGAAGTTGTGTGCCTTAAACCATTATTATCTTTATAATTTTTTAAAATTCATTTTGCTGTAGCTTCCACATTTGTATTTATCTGTAGGAGGTGCAAAATTATTAGAGTTTTCACTGATCTTATGAATGAATAATATTTAACATTTTAACTAAAATCACTTCAAATGCTTGATCTGAGTATTTTGTTATCTAACAGCTGACTTAGAAATAATGTCAATAGATTGGTAATACTGTAGTTCCATGTAATAGTTAGTTAAATAGCTGACAAATGAGTGAAGCACAAAGGATTGATTCAGTGCTCACATGGAGAGGCAACCACAGATTGCCTTCTGTAGTTTTAAAGTAAAAATGCAGACCATATAAAAAGGATTACTTTTATTCTCTTCACTAGGGAGCTAACAGAATGAGAGGTCGGCTTGGAAGTGTGGACAGCTTTGAACGGTCTAACAGTCTTGCTTCAGAGAAGGTATCTAATCAAAGCTCCCTTTTGTTTAATGCAAAGTGCAACTGAGCAAAACCCCTCACTGATATAGTAATATGCATGCCTAATTTATATGAATCCTTTAAAAAATAAATATTATCTTAATAATAATCTGGGTATTAGCATGTTCTTAATTCAGCTAAGCTTTTCCCTGCTAGGACAGAGCGCCTCCCTCATAGGCTATCACTGAGCTCTTTCAGGTATTTGCCATTGGTAGACAGGCTGCTGGGAGGACAGTATATGAGCATCCATTGATCCAAATCCATATAAAATGAACTATGTAATTATTATACTGGGACAGTGATTTTCATGTTGTTGTTGTTCTGTTTTACTTTCCCTCTCATTTTTTTATCATATCAGTGATATGACAATAAAAGGTATGAATGATCATCACCTCATTATGTCCTAGACAACTCTCAGTAGGTTTTGTTTTCTTTTTCTCATATTGTGCAACATGTGACCTGAGGCATATGCAGTATTTTTTTTTTTTTTTGGTACTGGGGATTGAACTCTGATCCTTGAGCTTGCGAGGCAGGTGGCGGAACCACTGAGCTAAATCCCAGGCCCCAAATAATAATTATGAAACTCCATTTTTTTTTTTTTTTGGTAACGGGGATTGAACTCAGGTCCTTGTGCTTGTGGGGCAGGCGGCAGAACCGCTGAGCTAAATCCCCGCTCCCCCTGCAGTATTTTCAAATGGGACAATATTAACATTTTTTATTAAACATTTTGTTGATAGATTTGGGAATTAGCCCAGCTATGAGACTATTATCCCTAACCCATGTTTATCAAGCTGAACCTTTTTATAGTAGTGCCTGCAAATTTAGGAAAGTATAAACAGCATACCTAATTGAATTGAAGGATTTATGATGTCTATTCTATTCGTGTAGTAGGACATGCATTCCAGCATAGCTGACTTTTTATTCATTTCCTGTTTTTCATTTGTTTTATAGGAATTTACCTTAGGGAGAGTGTAGTTGGATGGAAACATCCAGAGTGAAGAAAGATGCTTAACAAACTTCACTTTATTTTTCTAAAGTCTTTGCCATGAGACTTGGACACTTAGGGACTGTGATATTGTTTTGACAGTACAGGAAGCATGCAATGATATGCCATGGAAATTAGGAGATATGTAGACACAGGCTCTGCCTTCTTTGATCTTGGTCTCTTTTCATCTCTAACAATGAGAAAAATACAGTTGCCTTTGACCACAGCACTTTACGGGAAAGAATACCTTTTCTTATCATCCTTTTCACTTTCTGGCCTATCTTGACAGATGCTGCCTTACAACTGCTTATCAGAAGCAGTGGGTTGTGGTGATACTGATTAATCTTCACCATAGATTGAGTAAAAGGAAAAAAAATATGTTTTGTCATGACTCAGAGGAAGATGAGACGCCCTGTGGCTGTTGACCTCTGGGTTTCAGCAGCTCTGCTGTGACCCTTGTAAGTAGGAACGAAAGACCTCACATGTGCTTGCGTTTCAGGACTACTCACCAGGGGACTCTCCACCAGGAACACCACCAGCCTCCCCGCTGTCCTCTGCATGGCAAGCATTCCCTGAGGAGGATTCCGACTCGCCTCAGTTTAGAAGAAGAGCGCACACATTCAGCCATCCACCATCAAGTTCAAAGAGGAAGCTGAACCTGCAGGACTTGAGGGCCCATGGGGTGCGCTCCCCTCTGCTGAGGCAGAGCTCCAGCGAGCAGTGCAGGTAAGTCCAGACCTCTGTGCAGGGTGTGAGATCCAATTCCCCTGTGACCCTGTATGGTCACTCTGGAGTCATCGTTTCCTACTGTTGCCAGCATTTAGTTTTTAGAAAGACTGTAGAAAATAAATTGTTTTTCTTTCCTTCAGTGACTGAGGGAAATGGGGCAAGGTTGAGGCACATCCAGAAAGAAAAGAGAATGCATTTGGGATAGAAACTTTTTTTCTCTCAGAAAAATAGAAAAAGTAAGATACGTAGTTGTTTTTTTCTGAAAACTTACTGACAACACATATTACTCAGTCTCAGTGATGGCTACAAAAAAATCAGTCAGCAAATTTGAAAATGACAAAGCAGTAGAACTTCCTGTTGGCCTACAGTAGAGTACCTGGGTTAAAGTAACATCTGAGTTACCTTCATATGTGAGAAAATTGGCTGTATTTTGTTACACAATAAATTAAAGCTAGATATGAAAATTGCAATAAATTTTATCTAAAATAAAATGATGTCATTTAAAAAAGGTGTATATACTGTAATTGTAGGCAATGTCCATTATAAATGATCTTATATGGTGTTTAATAATAATTTAATAAATTCTTTGACATGTGATGAGAAATAGTAAAAGAAGTAAGGCTGGAAATGAGGAATGGTTATATTTCTTACCATGAAGTTCAGATAGAATCATATCTTAGAGCTAATCTTGTTTCTCTTCTTTACCTATGGGTTTGATACAGAAAACAGGATTAGCTAAGGATGCCCATTGCAGAAAAATAAAAACAAAATTTCAAGTAACAACTTGACTAAAAAGGCTAATTATTACATTGAGTGTTATCCAATTTTCTAGCATTTTTGTTGTTGTTGTTGCAGTACCAGGAATTGAACCCAGAACATTTGTACTGAGCAACATCTTTAGCTCTTTTTAATTTATTTTGAGTCAGGGTCTCACTAAATTGCCCAGCCTGGTCTCAAACTTGGAATACTCTTGCCTTAGCTGTCCAATGTTGGGATTGCCCAACCTACTAGCATGCTTTTAAGGATACAGTTTTATTCTTATTGTTTTCTACATGATTTGAAAGTTAAAAATAAGATATGTATAATGTAAAAATAAATGAGTCAACAGAGTTAATTGTCCACAGATTTTTATGTATGAAGGAGATTAAGTATTCATAAACATACTATGATTTTTAAAATGATTACTTCAGTTATATTTATACAGGGTAATACATTTATTTTTCCAGGAAACATTATTTTCAAGAATTAAAACATCAGTTATTTCAAACTATACATGATATTTCAGTTCTTCCCTATGTTTTCTACATTTTTATAATCTATAAGTTCAAATAGTTTCTGTCTATATAGAAAAATGCTGTTGTTTCATTATAAAAACTTGCCATACAAAGAATTTTATTAAAAAGAAAAAGACCTGTGTGGGAAACTTAGGGCTTTGGATTAACCCATAGTTAATTCCACAGGCTTCAGAAAAGAACACACCTGACATTAATATTGGTTAAGCCAAAGATATGATAATGTCCAACAACCAAACATGTTGTTTTTCAATATTTAGAAGTGTTTAAAGTCTTTAACTACTCCTAATCATGCTTTCCTTCTGGAACTTGTTTTCCTATCATTATTTGTGCTTTCTGCTTTTTTTCCTCAATGTGTCTTTTGCATAAAAAACCACAATTTTTGTCCTAAAATTATTAAGAATTTTTTAAGAGATGAACACAGCGATATTTTGTAGGTGAGGAATTCAGATAGTAAGGCAGTCACCCACATAGACAACTGCATGGTCCCCTTTTTCTTTCCTGTGTAAGATCCATCCCTTAGCCTTTGAAACATCCCTTAGCCTTTAAATTAATAGCAAGAACCTGTTTATATGCTTTTGCATAGTGAATGAAGATTTTGCTGAAATATAAATTAAGACAAATTTGCTGTATTTTCTGTACTCAGCCTCCTTCCGTCAGTTCGACGCATACACAAGGAGAGTAACTCTTCCTCCAGTCTTCCAAGCCTCCACACTTCCTTCTCTGCCCCTTCCTTCTCTGCCCCTTCTTTCCTGAAAAGCTTTTACCAGAATTCAGGTAGACTGTCCCCACAGTATGAACATGAAATCAGGTGAGATCAGTGCCCTTTGTTTGCAAAGCCAAATTTTCTGCCGTGATACGCTGATAAGTTACTAAAAAGTGGCTGATTAATTTTGGAGTGATATTTATGCATCCTTCTGTGTGTTTGTTCTAATATAGTGTTTTCTAATATAGTGATTTCAATTCCAATTAATTTTATTAAGAACGTTTAAACCAGTAGTTTCAACGCTTTTTGATGACTTGATTATCTTTTTTGGCTTTTTTTCATATTATTTGTGTTTCTTTACCTCAGACCCCAGAGTCTGAACTTTGTAGTGTTTGGAGCAAGAACTGGTGTTAACACATACTTAGCAAACCTTCCCTGATCATACTTTTTTCCTTAGCTTCTCTGCGTGTGTTTTAGGGAACCCAAAAACCACTGATTAAAACAGCCGATACATAAGTATATGGAGTATATACATAAGTATGTAGATTATTTCCTAGACATAGCTTTTGTTTTTCAATGACAGACTTACTTTTCTGAGTCTGGGTACAGGATCATGTTGACAAGAACTCTCACACAGTTTGGGGGAATTTCCTGAATCTTGTAGCTATTCTGTTTTGTTTTATTTCTGTTCCTGGTATGGAAAATGTATATAGCCTATTAAATCTTCTTGGTTTTCCTTTTAGCTACATGAAATTAGGTGTTGCAATCTTTGGAGAATTGCTTTTTTTTTCATTTAAATTATGCCAAAATTATATCAATTATTCATATTCTTAGTGGAGTGTTGGAAGCCTCTGAAAAGTGGTAGGCTAATTCAGAACCCTTCTAAATGGGTTATTGTTGGCCCCAGAGTCTGTGAGATTCATTCTTTTTTGCTATCTAGCTTGCCTCATTCATTTTTATTGCTGTATAGTCGCCCGTTTAATACACCACATTTTATCCACTCTTAAGAATGGACATTTGGGCTACTTCTAGTTATTTGATAATTGGCAGTTCTTGTAGTCAAGGATAGAAAAACATGCCTTCAGCCAACCTGTGTGCCACCAAAATCTTGAATAGCTTTTGGCCTATTTTCTTTTAGACTTAGGAAATTCTAAAAATTAGCATATAACTAGATGGCCCTCCTGAATTAGTCAATTAGGCCAATCCTTAAGTTACTTTGGAGTATCTTTTGTCCAAGTGTGTCAATTTATTTTCACTCTAAGAAAGATTATTAACATTGAATTACTATAATTATGCCTCTGAACTTTGCTTTGAATTAGTACAAAGTTATGTTTGAGCACTGAATCTGATTTCTGATAATGATAATAGAGAATTTATTTTAAGGAGTTTTCATGGATATCATTGTGAGAGCAGTTTTAAAGAAAGTTAGCTACAAAAATATTGTAATATATCTGAAATATGCCATGAATTTAGAGAATAAAGAATGTACACACTTAAAAATACCACTTTACCTTATCCCTTTAATACTGCCTGTTAATAAGAATATGGTAGTTTCAGTCAAGCCTATTTCCATTTTCTTATTGTTATATTTAAAGTGAGCAAGAGGGAGTTCTGGTATCCTTCCTGAAACAGTAGTGTCTGAAAAGTGACAATTAGAAATAGCCAGCGGGAAGGTCAAAGGTTGGCTAAGAATAGGATGTAGACTACAAAAGAAGTGACTTTTTTAAAAAGATCACTTATATTGTTTAATAGAAGGTTATTCTTTTGCTTTTAGGAATTCCAGCTTAAATGTATGTATTATTTTTGCCAATAGTTTCTCATATCCCTCAATACCTCACAAGAGTATTAAAGTCAAAAGGTAAATATGTATTAGATTTGGGTTGAAAAACTTCATTTTTTGGAAGTTTTATTATTTGAAGTGATATATTTAAACATTCAGGGTCACTAAAAATCATTCTATTTCCAGTTCTTTTAAATGTTTTCTTGGTTATGAGAAATTCTCAAATCGGAGTCATTTTGTTGTGCATTTTTCTTTTAGCTTGACAGCTTAGAATTAATAGGCCAAAAGTACACTTAGGAAAAAACAACTCTTTCATTGAAAAGCACCAATCATAAGCATACAGCTCAGGGGGCCATCGGAGAGGGACCATCACTGTGTTCTGCTGCTCAGGTAAGAACGGAAGGCTACCAGCAGTCTAAAGAAGCTCTCATTTTCCCACCCATAACTGCCAGACTGACCTCTCATATCATCAGTTAGGTGTGCACGTTATACTTTATATACAAATGGGAAGAGACAATGTCTTTCATATTAGACAGTTCTTTCATATTAGGCTGCTTTACCTGACATTAGTTTATGAGATTAATTCCTGTTTTTATTTGTACTTTAGTTTATTGCTGTATAGAATTCTACTTAATATATCACAATTTATCCATGCTCTCCCGGAGGACAGGTGGTGGTGTCTAGGCTTCTGCTTTTGAAAGGAGTGCTGTCTTATTGTACATATTGTTAGTTGCACATACATATGCATTATTGATGAATAGTTACACAGTAGTAAAATTATTGGACAAAATATACTCAGGTTTTCTTCACCTAGTAAGTCACTTACACATATATTTACTAGTTATAATTTGGTGAAAGTGGTTTATTTGTATTTTGAAATAATTTCAAATTTACAGAACAGTTACAAAAATATTACAAAGGATTCTTTTTAATCCTTTATCTGGATTAATCATTTTTATAGATGTATATATGAAATATGATCAGACATACGGTGAATGTTGAAATAGAAAGAATTATTATGATAAAGATACATTGTTATTAATCCCCCGCAAAATATTCCCATTTGCCTTTTTCTCCCTCACTTTGAACACACTTATCCCATCATTCTTGCCACTTTATTTTTTGTCATTTTGCATGTCTTTAATAGGCATGATTTAAAAAAAATACAGTAAACGCTGCTACCCAGTGTCATCCGACAGAAAGGCAGGCTCATAAAAACATTAAGAATGGTCCTCATCCATGGATCTTCTGGCTCTTTCCCAAAGTCAAAATGACCGTGAAAGTAAACATCTTGAATTGATTCATAATGCTGAGGCAGCCATGATAGTACAACTAAAGACACTCATGAAAAGATTTCCAGAACTGCTTCATAAAGTGGTTAGGATAATGGGATAAGTGTGTTCAATGGGGGAGTATTTTGAGGAGTATTAATGGCAATGTGTCTCTTATTGTAATACATTTTTAAAATTTAAACTTTTACTATATGTTTTGATCACATACCATATATGTATTTGTTTATATATAAATATCTTCATTTAGACCATATGTAAATAAGTTGGATACCACACGTCCTTTACTCAATACTTTAGAGTGTATCTTCTAAGAATAAAGATGTTCAAGAGCATGATTTTAATCTAGTGGTTTCTGAACTCTACATCTCTCATTTCCACTTGTTTCAGAGTGAACATTGTGTACACATAATTACCATGATATCTGGAACTATCTGGAATAATGAGGGAAGGAGATTCCTGTTGCTACCAATTATAATGTTCTTCTCACTTGGGTTCCTATATCTTATTAGTTGCATGAAATGAATCTCTAAATATGCGTAGTTTAAATAGGGAAGGATGTAGGCTAATCAGACTATTACTTTTTAAAATATATTAATTTGAAATTTTAAATTCAGGTTAAACAACATTCTCCAAGACTACTATCCTGAATATATAAAACATGTTAGATTATTTCTTTTAAGCATGCTGGCTGTGAATTCATTTGCAGAGTTGAAATGATAAAGGAAGGAAAATTTGTCTTTTTTGTTTCATCTTATTTTGAATTAGTATTTAAAAACAGTTCTGCATGATGGTGTATTTTTATAACATCCCTTTGTCAAATGTAATGTTTCCTTTCTATCAACAGATATCTTTTTTACCCCTTAAAACTGCTTCTTAGATTTTAAGCTTATATTTAAAAAATATTTGTGTTAACTTACATTGGTCAAAGGAAAATGATGGTTTTTAAAAAATAGTACTCATTATTTCTACCCATTTATAAAACTTCTTAATGAGAAAATAAGACTTTTCCTGATGAAGTACTTATAATATAGTTTTGGTTTGATAGTTTTCTTGTATCCATTGATTAAAAACAGCATAATTATTCATTATAGCTCACTGTTGAAGTAACCTTATCTGTAACTTACTGGTGACTTGTAGAAATGCCTTTTTATTCAAAGTCCTGATTTTGGACAGTCTGCGTGCTAATGCAATTCCTTGTTTTTCTGTTATACTAGACAGGATACTGCTTCAGAATCAAGGTGATTAGATATCTAAATATTTTCATGTAAAAAATTCTCAAGTTCTTCTACTCACCCTGAGTTTAGATTGTCTCCTGAACGCATGCTGTCACTTTGCATGCTCTGAGATCCACCCAGAGGGAAATGTTATCCTTCGTATAAACAGAGACAAATAGCCATATAAAATGTTGATTGCAAACAAATACCCTGTTTCTACTCTATTCCATGTTGAAATTTCCTTACAGATGAAATTTCCTTTCCTTCAATTAAAGGCCTAATTTTGATTTTAAATTAATAAAAGTGAATTTACTAGTTGAGACATACATATGCCCATATGAGGAGTTTCTTCCAAATGTCAAAAAAATGGAGAAAGGAGCATTTTGAAACATACTCATGGAATCTTTTTCACTAAATGGGAAGTATTACTGTGTTTTTGTTCATCTTAATTCCTGTCACATTGGTCGCTTTGAGAGACTGCTAAAGCCTTGCAGATGTTGCATTGGTCTGGATGCAAGAAAATACCTAGTTTCTTATTATGGAAGTCTCACCACGTTGTGGTGACACCTCTTCCTCATGACTCACATGCTTTCTGTGGAGAAATTCAGAATCACTGCTGAACAATTTAACCATGAACTTCTACTCTCTGCTTTGTTCCAGTTTCTACATTTTGCTTATCTCACAGGCTCCCATGAGAAATATGCATACCCGTCTTCCTATTTGAGGCTACTAATGTTTAGATTTTTTAACATCTGCAGTAAAAACATGGTAGTAAAGATTCCATTAGAGTGAGCTATACAAGAAGAGAAAAATGTTCAG